ACCTTCTCCCGTATTACTCACATGGACTTCCAAATACTCTGTGGGGCCTATGTCAGACAGCTCCTGGAGTACGCCAACCAAGTTGTCTACTCATGGCGCACGAAAGACGTGACCCTCATTGAGCGTGTCCAGCGGGCCGCCACTAGAATGGTTGCCGGCCTCAAATCCGTGGACTACGAAACGCGTCTCACGATGCTTGATCTCTTTCCCCTGGAGTACCGTCGCCTCCGAGGGGACCTAATTCTTACTTACGCCCTGTTTGAACAAAGCTTGGCAAACAGGTTTTTAACCGTTGACCCAGCAAACACCCGGCGAGGACATAGTAAGAAAATTTTCAAGCTCAGAGCACACATTCATTAGACAAAACTTTTTTTCATTTCGGGTAGTAGCTGCGTGGAATGACCTTCCTCCGACGGTTGTCTACGCTCCTTCTCGAACCCAATTTAAAGCACTATTAGACATCCGTCCTAATGGTGTGATGTTCGGTTATTAGGGACAGCTGGCCTCCGGACAAGACGGTTAGCTGTGTAGACCGGGCTTACCTTTCTGGAAGCTGCGGTGACGTGTTTACTGGGCGATGCATGTTTGGCAGGAAGGCACTGTAGTAGCTAATCAACCCCAAAAAGGCTTGAGTTCAGCAGCGTTCGATGGTGGGGGCATTCTCACAATTAGGTCGACGGCCATTTTTGTAGATATTAAAGCCAAGGTATTTCACAGAACTCAAGAGTAGCTCACATTTTTCTTTCTTTAGCCGGAACCCGTAGTTACTTACCCGCTGAAGGGCAGCGTCCAATTGGGACGGGTCTTCTTTAGTGGCCCCAGCGATGATGATGTCCTCAAGGTATGCGGCAACTCCGGTCCTATCACAGCATTGTGTCCATAATCTTCCGTAAGATGGATGGCGCAGTATCCACTCCGAATGGCAATCGAGTCGGGATAGTCAGATTCTTGAGAGTCAAGCTGGATTCGCCCTTGCCGGGGTTGCACCAATCATGTCTTCATTTTCCGTCATGTGGTTTAACTTCGCCACTCCTTCTGGTGACCAACAGTGCTTATCTTTCCAGATCTTAGATCTTCTTTTCAGTCTGTTAATCGTCGGAAATTGTGAGAGCGATGAAGGGTGCCCCTTTTAAACTCTTGTCTCTTTTGAAGAACTACGACTCCTCCCGTAGGTGCGTACGCAAAAAAATCGTTCAGCTATAGCACCCTTCCAGCGCCTAACTGCCATGCTACCCGAAGGAAACACGAGGGCTGGGATACTGCCAGGCTGCCCAAGCATAGACAGGAGAAGTCGAGAGGCAGAGGTCGAGTTCGAACCACGGACCTTCCGGTCAGTGAATCCGCGCTCTAGCCACTTGGGCTATCTCGCCCCAAACTTAACTCCCTTGAGTTCGGCACACTCAGGGGTGTCTTCTGTCGCCCTTTCTGTTTGACTTCCTGACCAATATGCCGCATAGGTCTTTCTTACCTGCCTCGGGAATCGAAATACCCCCCGGGTCGTTCGCTCACGGACGTTGAGCACGTTGGTGAAATTGCTCTCCTTTGATAAGACCTTTTGGAAGTGCAAACAGCACAGTTCGGTATGCACTTTATCCCTTTAAGGTGGTAAGCGTTACTACATGACCGGGTTTGGTCGCACCCGAACCTCATGGTTGCAGGTGGGCCAACCGATGTGCTAGGTAAGTTCGTCTATATGGGCAGCTGCACAAGTTCCGGCAGACTGATGGAATCGTTGACAGTGTCACTTCCCGAATCGGGAAGGACACGGCAGGGTTTGTCAATCGCCGACTTCTGCTTGACTGTCAAGGGAAAAAGCAAGGTGATCCTGGGAATAACCATTTGCGCGATAGGTCTCGGTCTTTGTTGTTATCCACACGGACACCAGTAGATACATCACTTCGTACAGCGTTTCAGTCCGTTTGCTTACTTTATTGTGACTTTTGTAGATTACGGCTATAGCTTTACCCGGCGATTCACCATGCTTGGCCCCTATCCGCAACAACCCATACCAATAGAGGCACTCCCAGAGTATGATGTTCAGGAAATATTGCTCGATGGAAGAGAACTTTTGGAAAAGTAATTGGCCTGTTGTGTCCTGCTTACAACTTCCGCAGACCACCTACTCCGGCAGAACATTTCCAAAAGATTGTGAATCGAATCGACTTCACGAAGTCTTACGATGGTAGCTGCCGATCCGATGTTACTGAGTCCAGTGGCAAGTCTGCTGCCCGTGGTTCCCTCAAAATGTGGAACGTCGTTCGTGAAACCTCCAGGTCTGTTGGTTTGTTTTTAAAACACCTAACTCCTGTAGGATGGCACTTACTGAGATCAATGCCTTAGTAGATATTCTTGCCGTTCTCAAAGAGGAAAAGTATTTGTCTGTTTTCCCTGTTGCGACAGACCCACCGGATTTAAACCCTGCTATCTTCCTTGTCGGCAAAAAACAGGTTAGTATTTCAGATCACATGGTTGTTTGATGGTTAGTTCATTTAGGCCCTTGCAGCCGCTTCAGAGATTCTACTCAAAGGCACCGAACGCTTGCGAAGAAGACATGCTGAAGTAGCGGATGCTCGGTCGCGTACCACAAGCAGTGCAAACAATTCTTCTGATCGAAGCAAGACGGCGTCCACACTAGAATCGTTTCACAAAACCTTGATGCAGTTGAGACAAGAGTGGCGACTTAAGCTGCACCAAAACACAATCATTGGAGATGTGAGTTTGCGCGCCATCGGATCGCGTTTTCGAGAATCTGGTAATTTTGAAGTACGTGAGTCCGATATGGTTGCGCTCCAAAAGTCGAACAACAGCGGCACGAATGATATGGAAGTTTCTGGTAGCGTGGAGGTAAGTTCTGTGGCCGTTCATTTCTTTGATCTAGAGAGTTCCAACCGGGCTGTTTCTCGGGAATCATTATGATGAGATGTGGTTCATTCATTGAACCAAGCCTTTGGCAAACTTGTGAGGGCAAATAAGCAGCGGAAAGAGGGGAACGTTGTTCTCCGTCGAGGCTTGACACAGATTTCCATTTCATCTTATTTGAATTTAACGTATTGTCGTACTGTTTTTATTGGATTGAAACATGGTTCGCTTTTGGCTTCCAAACTCTCCCTTGTGACTACACTTCCTCACGTAAATAATCCCAAGCTTGATGTAGGGGTGTGATGTTCTCCACGGTAATTTATCCTTGAGGAAGTGAACCATAGAACCATATGGGAAAATTTACCTTCAACGTCTGCGTCACAGGGGACAAAAATTGTAGTGCTGCCTTTTGTTTATCGGTTGACAGTTACACCTGACTTCTGTAGTACTTGATATAGGCCACACTCTACTATACTATACTACTATGCTATACTGCTGTACGACGGCGTATTTACAACAGGATTTTCCGGGTCATTTTGCATAGCTGAAACGTAGGTTGAAGTTGTCAAAGCTGGAAAGTGAAATGAAGCACTACGTGTGCCAATTCGATTGTTATAGATGCCTTACAATTGAAATTTTTTTGATTGTGAACTCTATCATACTTTTTTCCGTGAAAGAATGATGCTGCCCCAGGTTGCGTAGATGGCCGTTGGTTTGTTAACTGAGCTGAGTGCCACCACTTAAGACATCCATTTCACCCACCTCACTACTCAATGACAGGTCACCGGGGCTGATGGTGACCATTTTACATTAAAATTTCCCGGCTGAGCGAACAACCCAACAGTCATACCTCTGTTTTCTTTATTCTCATTCCTTCTGGCCAGATAATACAACTACACATTCGCAGGTAGTGAGGTGATTTGAAAGGTGCACTCGAGTGTACTTACTCTGCAGGAATAAGCAGCATTTTGCGGATTTCAGAGCCGGTTGAAAGACGCCATATTCCAGTTGACACTTGAACAGTTTTGTTTGCTTCAATCACAATATTAGACCTCGATTGGGGGAATATTAGAGGTGCCATCATGAAGAGACTGAACTTTACCGTGGTGTGAAGGTTTTTGTGCTTCCGTAAACCATTGAGCTGTAGTGGGGGGTGCCCGTTCGGCACTCGCAGTGTCTCATATCAGGTTGGTCAATGGTTAGGGTTCTGACCAACACAGTTTCCCGGCTCTCCAGGTTGTGGGTTGGGACATGCATGGCGGCTCGTTCTTTGGAGATGTTAACGCACTGGCGTTTCCCATCAAAAACCGCTGCGTTGCGGTCAGGCTTTTGGGCCAAAAGTTTTGTCCGTGTCCCTAATCGTCCTCGTGTCTAGGTGTGGGCGCTCTCACTGTATCTCTGCCAACGTACAACCATGATACGTGAAAATAAAAGCATTCATGCCATATCGGCGCTCACGTGGTGTCACCAGCCCGGTCACCTTAATTGCTGCATACAGCAGGGCAGATAAGGGGAAACATGCTACTACTGACGTTTCCCTCTCGCTTCCATATAGGTTTTCTTTCTTTCCTCTTCCCCTACTCCATTACTAATTCTCCTTGTTGGCGTGTCTGTTAGGATGGACAACCTCATTCATCTTGCATCGGTTTTGGCCACAACATATGTGCATAAGTCTGTGCGGAAGGTCAGTTGTTCGAGTACACCGCCATCTCGACTGATCCTGCCTAGGCTTTGGCAACCCGACAGTATCTCAGCCATCGTGCTTCCTTCCGGTGGCATGGCACTTAGGCACCGAAAGGGCATTGCAACTGCGCGACAGTATAATGTGGTACTCGCATTTGGTGTGTTTATATGGCTTTCGCCAACCATAGCAGCCACTTTGTCAGTAAAATGAATTGATTCTGATTGAGAGGGTTACCTTTAGCAGTTATCCTGACGTCGTTTTACCTTCGGGAGGGCCCACAGAAGTTGCCCAGTCGCGGAGTCACTGGTCTACCTCTACCTAAAATCCCTGGTTTTAGCAAAAAGTCGCATACGTCCTCAGCCACCTCACCTTCGATATCCAGACTTAACTTGTGCACAGTGCTGTTTTCAACGTCCTCCTGTGTCCTTCCTGTTTTCTATGGTGCAGTAATCCACCAAGAGAGGATAATGCATATGGGGGCCCACAACGGCTCTCCTGCCGGTGAGGAACTACCGCTCAGTCCTTCCAATTGGTGACGGAAACCGATCTTTCTCTGATATGCTTTTCCCCCTCTCTTGGGGGATTATTTGAAAAAAAAAATTAAAAATGTGCAAACAAGTTCTTATTGAGATATTTCTCACCCTGTCTTAATCTCCAATGTGAATTTTTACGATTGACCAGGTATCACATTCCCGAGCAAAGGGGTGACCTAATACAGAGTTCACTATGTTTGCTTTGAAACATTAGCCCCTATATGCTTGCTGCCTTTCAGGTTGTTTTTTCACGGTCTGTCGAAGCCCTGCTTAACAATACTGTTGGGTCTGGCCTGCTTACTGTTGAAATACACGAGACCGGCACTGATTCCGGACCAGTTCACCTATGGGACTGTGTCTTCAACGCGAATTCCGGGACTTCGTCAGAACTCACCACGCGTAGCTCGTCAGCTGAAAAGCTGAGTCAGCGTGAACGACTCTTGAGAACACAACGGCTGCTGGCGTGCCGAGAGATTCTTCACACACTTTCCTTTGAGGCCTTCAGTTCCAAAAGTCGCTTGTGTGATTCAAGTTGTTTTGCTACACAGGTAATATCCCACTTCATTCAGTGATGATGACACATTCCGTCTGCTTAGTGTGGTTATGTGATCTAATTTTCTTCCTTACTCCTCAGTGCTCGTTTGTAGTCAGCACTCTATGCTGAAACTTCTCACGCGAAAAGCCATTTCTCTTTGGGTCAACGTTTTAACCACGACTGCTGACTGTCCGAGGGAAGACCCTAAGCCTTTTCTTCAAGCCATCTGCGAGACGTATGTGGATTGCCTAAAACTGATTTTAGATATTGTTCAGCGACACTGATGTCAATCTCTTGCCGCTATAGGCCACCTTTCTACCGCTTACTGGTGAACTTGTGCATTACGAGCGCGCCACGCGCGAACAAGACGAAGAGACGCCGAGTTGTAGGATTTGTGGTTCAATCCTTTCCAGTCGTGGGTTGATCTACTGTAACTCCGCTGGCCGAATGGAGAGTAGGACCAAACTGCATGAGGTGATCATTTCAAGTATCAAAGTTCCCTACCTACANGAGTAGGACCAAACTGCATGAGGTGATCATTTCAAGTATCAAAGTTCCCTACACGTCAGTTACCTGCGTGTACGCAAATACATCTCCTGTATGGTATAGCTTCGTAAAGCAATACAAAATAAACGCAACTTGGTTAGCGATAAGTGAAACCTTCGTTTCCTCCCTACCATGGCATTAAATTCGAAAGTCATTTTGGCGGTTCCAAACGGTAACGACGAATAAATGAACGACACCTCGTACCACTTGTCAAACGACAATTGAAAGACTGGCTAACTTGTCAGGTCCCGTTTATATAAAATGGTATGATATACTGCACAATATAGCAGAGTATAATATAACACAATTGTAATATAATATGATGTAATATAACAACATAATCCAGCTATAACTTAATACAATAGAATGCAGTATATAGTCATAATATAACAATATAATATAATGTAATATAACATAAGTGTAGCGTAACAGAATATAACAATCATAATATAATATGATATAATATAATAAAATAGCCAGTTTTCATGCTCTCCTGGAGGTACTTGTGTTGATCGGACAACAAAGCCAACTGTCCAGATTGTTTCAGACCATCTTCTGACTGGTTTCCAGGGCGGAAATTAGCACCCTCACCGTTCCCGCTCTAGCCCACTTATTAAACACTGCTTACCGCTTGAATACGGCAACAGCTTTCACGTCCAAACATAACATTTACCTTCGAGCACCGAATATCCTGTTTCAAATGTATGCATCTCATCTTGATTAGGAGGTATCTTTGATCATCTTTGATCGGTCTGTGTTGTTCTCAATCTCGGGATTGGAAAAAATGTAAGGTGAAGGATGCGGGCGTTGCCGAATAATTGGTGTAGACTCTGGTGATCAAGGTGCGCGGATGCTATGAGGATTCGAAGCCCCTATTCATACTACTCTCTTGGAAATCTGTTGGAACATGGGTCATTGGACGGTTAATTGTCTGCAACTCAGGAGCGATTAGCACGTTCTCAGTAGACTCAGTTGCGGTAAAAAATGTTCCGATGTGTGCGTACGGGGTAACGTGTGGTTTTTATCCTTTATGCTGTTGAATGTCGTACCCCTCAACACCATGCCTCACAACAGAAACCCACCGCCGTTACTTACTCTGCACCGTAAATGGCTGACAATAGTCCGTGACTGCCCATCTACTGTGAGTAAACTTAAAGCTTGTGCGGAGCTGATCTATCGAGGATTCGTCTATAACAATAAATGTCTGCCAAAACCTAAGATTTGCAAGGTTACGGAGTAATGAAAAACCTAAATAGTCAAGAAAATAAAGCTAGCTTACCAAAGTTGAGCTAAAGGAAACGCTAGAAACTCATTGTGGAAGCCCGGAGAACAAAAGTTTGGAGTCAGGGTTAAATGTAGTGTTGCATCACAAGTAGCATGGTTGATATAAGAAAATGATGCTTTGTTTTGTTATGATTTGATGTGTCCTAACCTATCGGTCTTCTACTCAGATTCTGACCTGAGCTATAATATGCGTTAGACAGGTTCCCTGGGAGAGGAAACAATGACCTGTGTTATTGCAGTAGCGTCGTGAGGAGATAGAAGCATACCGAGAGCATCTTGAGCAAACTCCCGCTTCACGCGAAGTCATACAAGAAAACTCGGGTTGAAAATCCTGCCCCTAACTTTAGTTTACTGACTAAAAAGCGCTGTCCTGTTTTGATACTCTTTTCACGTATGCGAGCAATGTGTATATAGTAGATCCTGGGTAGGGCATCCAGCTGTACATGTGGACTGCTGTCCTCTTCTCGCTCTAAGGTTATCGAACAAAATTTACTACTAACGAGTAGTTAAAATTCATAGTTGGTAAACATTTCTGAACAGCTTCACGTGTAAGGCAGACAAATATCAAATTCGTTTCCTGCCGTAATTGGCAGGAGCACTTCGAGTAGTGTTATACTTATCACTTCCAATCTTCGAAGTGGGAGCAGAAACTCGGGGTGCTCTCATGTTTTTTGTTGGGTTCAGTGTTAAAAGGTATTTCTCCATGGACATCTTTCGGCGTGCGGGGAGCCCTAATCCGTGAATAACAGTCGATATTCATACGAGGACTGAGTTGTTAGGCCATATACTTACACATCATTGCTTGCCTAGACTTTTGAAGGTCCTTGTGTTCTCTCTGTTTAAATGCGTCCGATCGGTGATTTCGGCTGAACACTGGTTACGGATCGTGCCCAAGTGGCTTTCAGACAGAGTGCCTTTTATTCGAATTCTTAACGTCTTGGTAGGATGGGAGTGCACGACGGGCTCTTTCGTTTGCCGAAATAGACATCTGACTGAAGTTCCTACGCCCCCTTCCGACTTAAATTTATTGTTGTTTCCAAAACGCTATGAAACCAAAAGGAACCCGGTGTCTCGCTATCCAAGTCGTTTCTAGTTCCATTTTTTCTCCATCGAGAAGTGTTTATCTTGTATTTGGAGATAAATACGCACGAGTTGTCCTACGTTTTGTGGGTTGCACGACGTCTGTTCACTGAAACCGCAGCCGATTGACTTGATTTTCTTGATTTGGTTGTTTAGTATTGTTAATTTGCACATGCACGTTGCAGAGTCGGGATTTATGACGTATGGCTTATGAGTCCACAGAAAACTATTTGTATAGACAGAAATCTCGAAGGTCGAAGTAAGGTTTGTCAGTGTTCGTGAAGCATAGAACTTGTAGCCCCCTGAGCGGGCTCGGTGATCTTCCCTCTAGTTTGTGCGTCCAATCCAGTTGCCATACCGATGGAGGCAGGGTCAGCTAATCACATCAAAAACCAATTACCTCGTATTTTATTTCTGAGTAATTTCTAGTGAGTGGACAGTTAGCTCCTTTAGACAGACTACCACCACTAATTTTGCAGCTTACATCGCTATGTGAGGAAGTGATCAATAAGACCTTTTCGGAAAAAGCTGTGTGAGTAGTCGCTCTTTTTGGAGCACTCTGATAGAGACCCAGATGCCTGATTACTGTCCTGGATGTTCACTTTCGACCCTACAGCTTAAGTGTTCATTCTCAGTGTGCGCTGTGATGCTACCTCACTGGTAACGAAACGTTTGACACTGATTTTCCAATTCTGCCTATACTTCAAGCACCAACTGCACAGCGTTCTGTTCGATTTCTATTGGGGAGGTTTTTCATTCGTTTTATCGAGCGATCGCTTGAGAAAACTCGATAGGAACCCTGAGTCCCCCAGACAGGGTTTTTTAATCTTTGTGCTAGTAGTCTCATGTACCTTTTTTTACGTGTTTGCGTGCAGAGTCCTTGAGTTGAACATCCAGAGAAATTCTAGGTGAACAATAACTGTTTGGAAAGGCAAGTCGGGTTAATTTCCCTAACCTTTTTATTGAATACTCCTTATGTAATGCCTATCGGCGTACTCTTTGAGTTGGTTGAATCCAGTTTCTGCGTAAAGAGCTTGATTTCCCAAACTTTTAATAACACACGTCGGTCTATTACTGCAAAACAACGTTTCCAGTCTGTCTGATGACTGCATTTTTTCACGTATCAAATGTTGAGTGTACTCACTGTGTCGAGTAAAATTCATAGCATTATGATTTTTTTCATTGTTACAACGCCTTTCTGGTTCTCGGGAAAACAGATGAAGTCTTATTCTCCCTAATATTCTCCGACTTTTCTGATATTCACTCTTCTCAGGATAGAGTCATTGCGAATCTTCTCCCCGGCGTCCAACTGACTATCAGTCTTGAGACAAGACCACCGCCAAGTGATTCACTCGAAATCGAACTGGAGGAGTCAAAGCCACTGTTGACTACCAAACCCACGTCATCCTCAAAGTCAGATGGCAACAATCGCGTTCACGTAGCCTTGACGTTGAGCTTACAGCTGAACCGTCTTCTGGCGGCGCAACACCGCGTGGTTTGGCCCAATCTAGCCAGTCTGCCAACTTCTGCCTGTGGAGCTGTCCAGATCCCGGCGAGAAATCGAGCTGCCGGAGCCCACGCGTTGCATGCATCGCACTTCAATCCGTCTGGATCCGATGTTTCTGCCTTCTCTATAGCAGTTGCCAGTGTTGCTGGCTTTGCTGGCCCTGCCACTGCAGCTTGGTCAACCCATAATATTGTTCATCGGTCAACTACCGGTCCTGGTGACCGGTCAGATCCTACAGTAATGGCTACCCAGCGCCTGCCTTCGGCGTCCATAACGCAGGATCGTTTGGCACTTTTCACAGAATGGGGGACGCTCCAGACTTGCAGTGGTATGTCCTCGTCCGCTATCCAACAATCTACAGTGGGACCAGCAGGTTCCCAGATCCCATACGACGATTCGGTTTACGGTACGTCTAAGGTGGCATCCGTGGAACATCTACTTCATCGGAAGAAAGCGGATGATGGAGCCATTCAAAGTGTCTTGGGATCCACCTCATCCCTTTTGGACCGAATTGTCGCCATAAGCAGACATTATTTCTTGCGGAACAGGTAGGTGTTTTTGGAGCCTGTGTTGTGGTTGATTCACCCAAATGTGAGTATGACAAAAATGAGTTACTGCAATAAATGAGTTACTGCAATCATATTTTCATTCACCAAGCTCTAGTTGTTTGTCCCCTACTTAGCGAAAGTTCTCTAGGAACAGACATCCACATGCCGGCTACAAAGACTGGAAGGTGTGACGCTGACATTCGCACGAATTCGACAGAGATTCTCCCCGCTAACGTCTATCTTATGCGTGTTGTTCCAATCAAGCGCCTACGTGACAGTCGTTCTTGTGGAATAAAAAAGGACCCGTTACCATCGAACTGTAACTGGAATGGAATTCAGAACTTGTGGGTTTCTCAGTCGACGACTTAAGTTGTTAGTTCTGCACTTTCGGAGGTTGAATAAGTTGTATACAATTGTCATATGAAGCTCTTTTACCTTTCAGAACAGACTAATAATCAAGAAGGATCATTCTTGAACACTTTCTTCATGTATTCTGTCTAGGGCGCAAATGTTATAGCCTTCGCATTTTGAATCTCGGTGTATTTTGATGTCGATATATTCAAATAGGAAGGGGTATGCAGTTTCTACTCCTTGTTCCGGTAAGATACGTTATGGGAGCCACAGGAAAGTTAGACTAAGATAAGTTTACATCGAGTTGTTACAAAAATACGTCTTCATTGTGAGACTAGCATGGCATCCGTTTGCTGTCTGAAAAGTTCACGTATTGTCGCTCGTATCCATTTTGTTTACTTCCTATAGGGTTTTCGACTTGCTCGTTGACTTTGTTCAAAACTCTCCAATCCGCGTCATTGTTCATTGGGATGGTCTAAATACTGCTCTGGTTACCTCGGCTCGAATATGTTTCTATGCCGTCAATTACGACGCGTATCGCTCCTGGATTGGTCTAACTGTGACTCATACGGGTATGTGTCTGTTCTATCCCGACCCACCACGGTCCTGCTATGTGGGTATGGATTTTAGCAGACTGCGAATGTTGCTGAGACATCAGGTGCGTCTACCAAAGAGTTATCATTTTCTCCCCTGTTTTGAAACCGCTCAAATTCATCTTTGCTTAGACTAGTCTCCTCAGCAGGGGCGTTATCAGGGTTTTGGTTGGTTCTTTTACAGTGAATAGGTTCAGCAAAACTTGGGAGGGGCAGACACTTCACTTACAGTAGAACCGAACCATTTTGATTTCAGGTGTTGTTTATATCCCCTCCTCGACACAGAAGCCTACCACGTAACTGCCATGGAACTTCTCACCACCTGGTAGGCACTCAGAAGAGTTTCCAATCTAGATGTAGAAAACGAATGTGTTATCCGAATCCTGAAGTTTACTATTTTTAACGTTGACATTCCTGTGTTTTTATGCTTTCTATGATTACGTGCCTGTTGTTTCGATTCAACGGTGTGAACCTATGGATACTAGTAAGCTAAATGCTCAGAACGGTGCAGCGATCACATTTGGAATGTGGGATCCGTCAAATTTGAAGGGTGCCTAGTCTTGTTCGTAGCCATATTGGGTGGAGTATTCGGATGTCGGAAATCATAAAGTATAGGAGGGAACTATGAAACCGTGAGGTTGGTGCAAATGTATTAGCTAGGTACGTCGGATGGGGTAGAAAGAATGGCTAGGATAGAAGAAAACGAAGTTATGTCTAAGGACGACGACTCTGTTTGACCCACATCAACTGCCTGGCGATAGTTTACCTTCGGTTAGGATCCGTTCCTAGTGTCCTCCTCAAGTATACTGGTTTTCTCTTTGACCCGTACATTTGCGTTCAGGGCTTCAAGATTCGGTACCCTAATAGTGGCTACAGTTGGTTGTGGCAATGTACGACCTAGTAGGCACGGATAAAGAAATCTAGCATGCTCCCACCATAGCATTTCTCGTCTTAGCCGCTAGGCCAGTGAAGTAATGATGCTACTGTCTAGGTTAGATGCCCAGGTCAAAAACAGCTTTGGTACTAGAAGGAATTTATTTGTTCCGTTGATTCCAAGGTGTACTTATCTGTTTCGGTTTCTTTGTTGCACTCTGTAGTGTAGTACTTTATCCCAGCTTGGTGTCTGTCACCAGAATCCAGCTTTTTTAGAACAAGTTAAGCTTGTCACATCCTCTAATTCGTTGGGTTGTTATATTTCGATTAGATTTGCTCGGAAAGCTCCTGGGACGATCGCCCCCACCGGACAACCTCATCGAGCGGTCACTTGTCGCTATCTCTCTAGCTTATCTGCCCAGAACATAATACCGATAGAAATCACCAGTCTGGACTGAAGGCCGAAAATTTCCAGTTGGTCTGTAATCCAAATAAAAACTACTTGTATTGGATCTCCGCACGATGCCTTGAAACTAGGCATCGCTTTTGTTGGCAAAAAGCACGCATCATTAATTAACGCCATCACGTTTAGCTTTCGACCACTCATCTGTTGTGTGGCTCATCAGTAATTTTTCGTCTAATAAACCAGGTTTACATAAATTACAGTGAATCGACGGCAACAGCCTCAGAACCCATGACAATGCAGACTCTGAGTGGCGTGCAGGCCTGTAAGCGGTGACATTATTCAAGTGTTTTTTTATCGGTTTTAAAGTTATAATTTGGTTGTTCAGTTGTGATGGAAGAGGCCATCACGTAACAACACCAATCCATCATAGAGTTGTCTGAAACGTCGATCATTGCGAGTTCCCGTGATTTCGACCGTATTCCAGTTTGGAATTTTGTCAGTAGCTTACGCTCCTGGTGGTGCCATTACACTCTTTTTTGAGTTTACTTGGAGCGAATAGTTAGTGTGAAATCGTCTTGGATGGAGTTGTCCTATTATCACCCCGAACCTGTGATTATTGATGATTGATTTGTGATATATCAATCCGGGTCTATTACCCTTCTGGGTTGAATCGACTTTCTCCTTTCGCCAGGTGGTTTACACTCAGCTGTACTTTCTGGATGTACTGATTACTAAAATTCTTGGCTGGACACGCTTGGGGAATAATCCATTTTCAGGAATAGCCGATCTAGAGGATGTTGGAGACGCCCCTGTCGTCGTCAAATTGTTTGCATCACCTTCGGGACGAACGTAAGTAAACGCTTGTGCATTCATTATTTTCGTTTGGTGCTCCAGAAATCTTCAGCGATTTCGGTTGTAAATTCCACAAAAGGCCACTGGGATTATATATATATATGTATATATGCTCCTGAGGCATACGACCACTGTAGTTTGTTTTACGATACCCATACCAGTTACTTACTGCCTAGCAGCCTGGTTGGGGATTTCCCATTCAGTCGTTGGTTGCTTGCAGCGTGCGGGACCTGTACTGACTGTTTCAAAAGAGTCCACTGAATCAGACGTTCACATAGGGTCCCTGAGATAACATGACACTTACATTTAAGGTAAGATTTGTAATCGTGACTCAACGTGGTTTGTGTCAGACTGATTGGTTGATTCGAGTACTCCAGAAATATCATTTAGGCTGCCTTCGGCTTCGTCCCACCTAACAGACATTTATCCCCACAACTTATGTTGCTCAATCCGTCAGTAACATGGCCTAATGAATTAAATCATCTGGTGATGGATCAGTCGTGTACATTTGGCCCTGGTCGTATTCCCAACATGCCGGATGCTATTGCATCCTCGACTGCCCATGAATGCTTTGATTCGGGGAATTTATTTATTTGCCATAAAGTGAATTAATCCATATTTGGTGTGCCGCTGTTCCTAGCTGTACGGTACAAGCCATTCTAACTGGTTCGCAGTTTGTATCACTCGTGTGAACAGTGTTGGTTTCCGTCATTCTGGTTCATTGTTTTGTGCCTGTCACCCAGCCGATTCACGCTTAGTTTAATACGAGCACCTGATCTATTTGTGAGCGCACAATGTTGACTTTGGATTGTTTTTGTTTTGCCTCTTCATACCGCCGGCGCCATTGCTTTATTACTAAGGGTTTCACAGGAGTGCCTTAGCGTTCTTGTCTAGACAGTCATAAGAACAATATATGCTACGTTTTAAGTGTCGTATTTTTGTCGGAACGCTGTCAAAAGACTCCTCGAATATCCTCTGGTAAATGAGTTTTGATCTTTCATAGAGTAGCCTAGAACCTGTGATGATAACGTCTCTTGCGCAATTCCAGAGGTTGGGGAAAGCTGTCACATTTTATGATCTGCGGTCGTGGCTATCTTTCTCCGATGTTATTACGAGCTTTGCTCTTCTACATTACTTATTTCTCTACCGTTCGGTTTTTCCACCTCTTAGTTTTGTCTGTCTCTGGGCCAGTGGCTCCACGGCTCTCCGACTGTTTGTATCCGATCGTGCACCGGCTTCCTTGGACCACTTGGGATCCATTCAATCACGTGCTTCGGCAAGAACCGACTCCTGTCGTTTGGCCAGTCAAGGATTTCGAGAAGTGCATCTTCGAAGCGTCCGGGGTGGGATTCATGATGTCGCCCGAATAGAAGCTGTTATGACTTCTTTGCCGTAGCTACACAACCAGTCGATTACTGTACATAGTCCTTTGGTATATGTCACCTGTAAATTCTCAGTTCTCTCTCCAGGTTTTCTAAATACGTACTCATAATACCCTAGTTAGATGCTTCTTACTTATAGGTCTGCGGCGTAAAATTGGTCCTATTTGGTGAAATTCAGCACCCGTTAAATTTTCCAGTCTTGTGAGTAATCAGTACACCGTTTCACTGATGACGGACGGGCGATGAGTAGAGGAGCGTTCAGCAACCTGTGAAATCGTAAGTTCAGCGCATTCACAGCCACGCCAGCTAACTGAACTATATAAGGGTAATAACGGTATTTTCCTCAGCTTAGTTCTCGGGTCTGAACCTTCAAACTAGCGTTCCCGTGAAGAAACCACTACCAAAGGTGTACAGTGTATATTGACTCCCAAAACCAGGTCGAAAACCCTTGCACAGTGCTTTGTATATAAAGCGTATGCCGCAAAAACATCCTGGAAATTCTGACGCCCGGATGCGCCATTTTCAACCGGCATTCGGCGAATACTGGACCATGGTTGGATGCTAAGCCCAGTCTCGACCAATCAGAGCTCGCCTCGATGCCGAACCGACAAGCGACCCGAACGTTTGGCCAATCTCGGCCGTAGCAGCGCCTAACTGCGAGCGGTATCTGTGTGGAATTCCGCCTAAGAATAAGCCGCAGTCAGCATCCGCTCCCTATCGCCGGTGTTTGAAAAGGGTATTTCGGGCTTGAAGGGTGACTCAAGGATCTTTCACTATTTTGTAGGTAGAACTAGTTTCTTTAGCGATATATTCGAGCAGCCGTTTCCCTTTAATGTTGACATGTTCCATTTTAGAGGTTGTGCTCATTACACCGGAGAACATATTAAGATATTATCTCACCTAGGAAAATACTTAGATTCTTGACAGAGCATAACTCATATGTATGCTGGAGACTCTCCCCTCTTGGAGCTCATCAAATAGTCCATGAGTTTCCGTCCACTTTGTTTTGCTCGAACCTAAATTTTACAATGTGCGAATTGCACTTATTTTCAAAATGATTTGGTTGTAGTCGGTCTTGGGCTCTCCGAGAGTTTTCAGCAATTTTATGAATAATGTAGTGTTTCAAGAAAATACATTGCGATGGCTCAAATATCTCATCAGTTGAAACAGTAGGTTGGATTTGTGCAGCACAGTTAGTCGGACATCGCAAACGAGACATTCAGCTGGGATTCACGTTGGTGCGTGTGTGTGTCTGATTCTGTTCACCAACTAACATAGCACAGGAATCTGAAAAAAAAACTCAGACAACCGAAATGCGAATATCTCTTTCACTTTAGTTTCTGAATTATTTATGGTTTGTCTTGTCTCGAACCGCAATTCATTGTTTGAGACTTATTTCACCGAAATCCCCCCGTAGGCCTAGCTTTGATTACTCGACCTGCAACAGTGCGTCTATATTTACTTCTGAAGAATGGCTATTGCAAACTTAGTTGATGGTTCTTGGGTGGGCCAGTTATTTTATGCACTTCCATGCTTTATGAACTTACTTTTGTATTTCGGTAGTAATCAGACTATTCGGTGTCTCAATTCTTCCGATCTTATCCAGAGTGGTTATTTTGATGTCCTTGGTGTCGATGGGATTACTTCCTAATCAGTTTTTCAGATCCACTTAATGCGTCGATATGGTTCGAGAAATTCACTTAACTTCATCTGAATTTTCTCGGGCTACTAACGGACCGCACATACATGATTACCCGTCCTGGTTTACATCGTATTACTTCGTACGCTGTATCTTCTTTCCACTAGTTTACGCCGAGTTCGACTCAGGATTCTGCCACTTATTCGGAGAGCTAGTAACGGCTTTCCTTGCCGCCTAGTTTGTAGACTCATCGGTAAGACGCCATCCAGTTGATGGTCTCCTGTGTTCTCCGATTGGGCCGCTATACGTTGGTTCAGTTTAGTCGATCGTAATCAAATTCTATAAGTTCAGTGGATCGCCACTTCCACAAACATGTAGACATCGGCTTACAGCTAGTATGTCAGATTGTCCGTACCAAATGTAATCAAGTAGTTTGAGCGCTTCGCGTATCAAATCATTCAGTAGAAGGAATATGCTAGATTTTTCATACTCAACATTCCGGTCATCTTGAGAAACCGTCATTTGAGGCGAAGTAATCGAAGAAACATACAAAGGAACACGTGCGTCAGTATTCAGAAGGTTAGTATGCTGTGCTCAATTAGGGGTTATCAAGTTCGAGTTTGGATATGTGGGTTATGTTAACTTCGAATAGGCTGGCTATATCTGCGAGTTCATACTTTTAACTGGTAGTCAACCCTGTCCATACGTAGAGTGTTACTAGCCGTCACTGCGGGTTGAGCGTGAATTTCTGAAGTTCCTGCGCAGTAACCTTGTGTACCGTGGCAGGTTTCCTTGACATGTTTTGGCCTGACCAGATAGTATTTTGTTACTCTGCCGTGGCATAAAATACAGTTTCATTTTTAGCATTTTTCATTAAGCTTCTGGATTGGGAAACGTGTATATTTTGTATCCAGTAATTCATTAGTGGAATTTCCTACTAGTCCCTTGGATCTCTAGGTTTTTCAATTCCCACACTACATCCTGTCTCTCGGGTGCATTAATTGCTTCTAATGTATTGCCTAGTCAAAACGCCATGTATACATTAATTTCTGTATCTTTTTCATACTGTATCCGTTCAGTCGTTTGAGACGTTCGTGTGATATTAGTTGTTCTGGTATAATTTTGCCTGTTTGTGTTTTGTATTGATGAAACAGGGTAGTCGTTTCTCAGCACTGTTTGGATGCGCTCAACCTCGCATTGCTTTTTGAAACTTCACCTGAAAATTCGTTCTGTTCATCCATGTTTTTACCGCCGATGAGATGACATGAGCGGTGGTTTACACTACTGATAAGTCGGTTTTCGGTGCACAGCTAATTAGCTTTTGTCATGCAATCCAGCAACGCAACTGGATGTTCATCAGACTACAATTCAGATGTGATTGATTTAGGGTTGCACAGGTTGTTGGGGGAACCGAGCAGGTTGTCGTTAATCCAAGTTGCATGATCGTACCTCCACCAGACACGCAGCTGGTACTCAACTTCCAACCTTAAATATCAGCAGAATAGTAGCAAACACGGTTGTTACGATATGGAAGCCCGTGGTTTTACAGCAGTGCACCCCTATAGGTAACGGTACTGTTCTCTTACAGCATTCACCAGAGTGCGATAATAGTCTGCAATCGCATATCAACTTAACCACACAAGAAATTACCACTTATTGAATTATGTCCACACTGTACCTATTTCACCTGCTGATAGAGGTGTATCGGCAGAGTCGGCATGGTCTATCCAAAAATGACACCGACGCTACAGCCGTGACTTCTGTCGACTGTCTAGCAATGTCCATAGCTACACTGATTGCTTTGACGTGATTTCACGTGGCCTATTATATTAGCGTGATATATCCGAGTTTTTTTGGCAATACAGTGAACCGTACTTTAAGGTTTATAGACGACGGTACTACTGTTTATTGGTTGATATTCAGTTATACCTTCACAGAGTATGCCGCAGCGCCTAGCGTCATCGTTGTCTTTAAGGAGTCACCAGCGGTTCATCCACTATTGTTCTGGTTGGTGGCAGGGTAACAATCCCTACTCATTGAGACCGCTTCCGACCGGTTGGCTTGGCAACCGAGTGCGCCGCAAATTTGGAGCTATTGTTTTGTCTTTACAAAGGATGACAGCAACATTGAAGACTACCAAGGCCATTTTCGTACAACTGCATTGTGTGTGTGGGTGTAATTTTAATGCATAGAGGGGTTAACAGCCGGAAATTTCTCATGTTCATACATCATTGTTATTGATGGATGACAACGTCTCTTGACCGTTTCCGTCGCAGCTGGTTGAAGCTATTCTTACTTCATTTGGAGAGGTAAGTTGGAAAAATCAAACAAAGGTTTGCATTCTTCAGTACAGTTGACGCACACGGTACTGAGCTTTCCAAACTGGTCGGTATCTGTGGTCAAGACGTTCCTATGGCAACCCACGGTACTATGTTTATTGGACGAACCACCATTCCACAGTGAAACGTAATAATATTTGTTTAAACTTACCGAAATCGCAATCGACTCCCCTTAAACGTATCTCACGGATTGGCTGGCTGATCAGCTTATCAGTACAACGACTCGTAACGATCCCTTTCGAGTACGAGCGCCTTTTCGTTCTGCAGTTGCTTTCTGGTGCTATGCTGGCAAATTCGGATAGTTAAAAAATTGTGATAACTGGATCGCTTTGAACGACGCAGCAGAACAAACCAAATGTGTGATTAATTCACTTCATATTTCGGTAACTGAGTTTGAATAAACATTGGTGTTCTTACTGTTCTTACTTGAATCCTAAACTAGGGATATGTGCATACCGACCAGTAGACAACGATTGGTGTGACCAAATTACTTTCCTCAGTACGACTTCAGATAAAGTCAGCTTTGTTGAAGGAGATACCTCATTGAAAGACCTCTTCAAAATAACGTCTACATTGTCTTTGTGCAGTATATTCAGTTGAATTAGGATATCATACAGTGGAGATCTAACTGAATTCAGTTGAGTACTCCGTTACGACCAACTTAATTGACCAATGAGACTGACTGGCTTATGAGATTGTTGCGCAAAGCTTCCTCTTATTGTGAATACCCATTATTATTGGTTCGATACTTGTAGACTTCGTAACAGATAAGTTCTGGCATGCTTAGTCTCGGGTACTGTGTCTGTCGTTGCAGTGGGTTTGCGTTCTGATCTTTCCAATCATACAATCATTTGGTACCTCTCAACAGTTCTACCCGCCCTAATGCACGATCATGGGAAGGACTTGTTCAAACCAAAGCAGTCCGGTCTCCGCAACCTGCACTGAACATTTTGGGAGTTGCTGAAGCAGGATGCCGTCCTATCAACTGCTACACTTGATGAATATTGTTCTGCAACTCTGTTACCCAGTCACAGTCGACATTCCAACATATGGACGCAGTGTCTGTGGGAGAAATATGAGTTGAATCATCCTCGAGCTCTATGGCCCTTGAGCTGGAATCTAAGTGAACCCACCAATGTACACTCACAACGTAGGTATTACTGTGACCTTGTCTGCAGTTGCAATAAACTTCCTTTTGATCGCAGTTTATGAGAACATTCATAAACCGTACACGAGTTAGGAGGCAGGGAATCGATGGACAACTATTTCTATCTTACTGAGGCACCTAAGCTTTGGGAGTGCTTCGGTATGCAGTTGGTACCCTGATTTCTGAACGCGATGATCAAAAATCTCCAAATTGGTAACTCAGAGTTTCCCTGACTAGTTTCATCCTTTCATCCCGCATTTATTTCATAATAACCGGACAGGTTTGCTTCAGTAGAAGTTTTGTGTTTCTGCTACAATATGTGCAGCCTATTTGTGTTCGACCATAGGACCCAAAAGAGTTTCAGTCCACTTTTATTACCCGCACGTGACCGACAAATTTAATCTGGTCGTTCTCAACAAAGTGTTTCCGATGGGCGAATTGTTCCTCAGGAAGCAGGATGTGGAAAGTGAAGGAATGTCCTTTATCAAAAGTACGTCTGTTGGATAACTACTTGTACTTGCTTCAAAATTTGGTTTGTTTTCATAGCTCGCTTGTTCTATTCGAGTTCACGTCTTGGCCATTTCCGGAGAGACACTTGTGTTGCCAGTCTCCGATATCTAAGAGGCTCTTCAAAGAGGGACACACTATAGAAAGAATTCCCAGCTAGACTCCTATAAAGTTCTCTACTTCTAAAAAGTTCAAGCTGCCCTCTCAGGGTCTTAATTTTGCTCCATGGAGGTCGACGTTAGCACCCATGAAGAAAAGTTGTGAATCCTATTATATTGGGGAAGACGCAGCCAATGTCAAATGTTTCTAGGAAGAACGACAATTTCAAACGACCTAATCCCGCACGACAATGAGAAACTAAGCACGATTTCGTTTGTTAGACCGAATAATTCAACTCGCTGTCATGCGGAACTATCACCTTGGCCTTCTTATCGCAGGAAAATGGGTGCATTTGACGGGTTAGGCAGTATTGGCACATTCAGAGACAATATACGAAATGGCTCCAAAAGCCTCATCACATTTTTGGATGTGACAGCGTTCAATATTAATTGTGCTCTCTGTCCTTAAGTTGCGCTATGACGACCGAAGTCATCGAATGGGCTCGGTCGAACCCTCTCATCTAATCGGCATTTAGATAGACTTGTTGCGTTCCCCA